GCAAAAAGGAGAAAAAAAAATATAACCGGTACCGGAACCGGCACCGGTACCGGCGGTGCCGGTAACGATTTTGGGGCACCGGAACCGAGACCGGATGTGGCGGTACCGGTGCCGGTTCTCGGAACCGTTAATCCGTCCCGGTATTCGTCACGGTGCTCGGTACCGGCGGTACCGTTTCTGGTGACGGTACCGAACCGGTACCGTGTCCAGCCCTAGTCATGTACATGTTCCATTCTGATTCGATTAAAATAATTTATGATCTAATTTGATCTAAATTTAATTATATTTAAAATTATTTTAGATATGATATGGTGTGCTTTGATTTAGTAATTGATGTAATTTTAGATGGGTTAAGAGTTACTTAATTAGTCGATAAGATATTTAAATTAAATGATATTAAAAGATTGAATTCAATCGATTACTAACCTCAACTCAAGAGCTTATATCAATTACTTTCCCCATCAACTTATATCGATTACTTTTTCCATCAACTTCCAATGTGGATTGTATTCCCATTCAAATGGACAAGATATTAGCTCTGAATTTTACAAGCGAGCTTGGCATGCTGAGTAATGTAAGCGAAGAATTATGTTTGGCTCGATTCAAATCCGTATTTGTAAACATCTTTATTTTATCTTGAATAATTAGTTTCTAGTTATCTAACCAATAACTTATTGCGGTTTACTTCAAATTGTATAGATGGCCTAACATGGATGAAAATCATAAGTTAGAGTTAGGAAATCAAATGTATTACAATCGGGGTGGATCTACATGAATGAATAAGATAAGGAAAACAATGTGATAAAGAAAGTAATTAAATATAACATTTATTTCCTTTTATCTAATATTCTTAGTAACTTAGTACATTCATTTTCCAATGCATATATAATCTAAATTATAATTCTTACCCCCACATAATCTAAATTAGTACATTCGTTTTCCTATATATCTACAATCATTCAATATTAAAATAAATAATTAATATGGAATTGAGGAAACCCTCCTTATCCATCGTACGGGATTTGGAATCATGTTTATAAGGTGTTTTCAAAAAAATGTGATACAATACGCAGTCATAAAAAAAACGTTTTTTTTAAATAAGAAGAAACGTTTGTTGATGGTAGTAGTCATTAAATACGCAGTAATAATAATTAATAACATAACGGCTACACTTTTTTCGTGCTTGACAGCGAACTAAATTACTTCTCTAATTGACAAATTTCTTTCATTTATCCATTGCATGCTTCGATTTAAACTTTCCGTATACCAGCAATAATTAAAATAATACTCCCTCCGTCCCCCATATATCTTCATAATAACCTTTTTTTATGTTCACAATAGATCTTCTTATTTCATTTTTTAATAATTAAAATACCACAACTATCACCACTTACTTTATTTATTACACTTCGCCCACCTCATTTAATACACTCCATCCATTTTCATTAAGGGTATTATGGTAGTCTTTCACCTTTTTTCAACTCTCCTTAAAACCACCAAAAGTCAAAATGAGAATATCTTAGGGGAACGGAGGGAGTACTTGGGATACCTTTATTTGTACTCCCTCCGTCCCCCATAGATTTTCCCAATAGCCCTTTTTCTTTGTCCACAATAAATCTTCTCATTTCATTTTTTAACAATTAAAATACCACAAGTACTCCCACTTACTTTATTTATTACACCTCACCCACCTCATTTAATACACTCCACCCATTTTTCATTAAGGGTATTATGGTAAACTTTCACCTTTTTTCGACTCTCCTTAAAAACCATCAAAAATCAAAATGAGAACATCTTAGGGGGACGGAGAGAGTACATCAAAAGACTCATAGATATACAAATACTCAGGGGGGTGTATTCAATTTAGATTTTAAAAGATTTTGAAAGATTTTTTAAAATACATGGATTATGTAAAATCTATGGATTGTTTTAATTCTACACAAAGTTAGATAGATTGTAATGTATTTTATTGATATGATTTTAAAGGATTTTGTGTGATTTGTTAAAAAAAATTCTCAAATTGAAAAGAAGATAGACCTTCAGTCACTGCCAGGAGCTCGACACTTTCTCAGAAAAAGTTTCAATGCAGCTTCATCCTCTACCCACCTCACCCTCACATTATCTCTTATTTGTTCTATTTACAGAAAAAATAATAGAATTTGTCAACAAAACCTAATAAAATGATTTAAAAAATTCATCAACACATTTGAATTATGAGAGACATGGCGGTGTAGCCGGAATCCGAGAGGGCTTCTACAGTGGTCCGTAGAAATTGAGGCGGCGACTGTGGCGACCGGTCGCCTCATGCAGCGGATAGAGAAATGGAGAAGAGAAAAAGTGCAGGTGCAGCGAGAGGGAGCGATTTGGAGGAAACCATTGTTTTAACCTGTATCCTCTCTTCGTGGAGGCTGGCGAGGGAGATTTTGAGAGCCAGATCTGAATATCTGCTTTTTTGGATGTTGCAAGAGATTTATGAAATCTTTGGATGTTGCAAGAGATTTGTGAAATCTTTGGAAGACGACCAGAAGCGAGGATGGAGGAGAGCTGAAGAAGATGGCTGAAGAAGAAGAACGTCCGATGAAAGCCGAAGAAGAAGAAGAAACGGCCGAAGAAGAAGTAGGCTGAAGGATTTTATAAAATCTTTGGTTTTTGGGTGAGATTTGGGAATGGATTTATATTTATACCCAATGCTTACAAATCCATCAAAATCTACATTTTTAAAAATCTTTAAAAATCTATCGACGTTTTGAATACTATCATATTTAGAAGGATTTTTTAAAATCTCAATTGAATACATTCAGATTTTAAATGACTTTTTAAAATCTGAATTGAATACCTACAGATTTTCAAAATCCAAAAAAATCCATCAAAATCCTAATTGAATACTCCCCTCAATGTCTTGACTCTTGAATCTAGCATAGAACGACATTTAAAATTTTATTTAAAAAATGCCCCATCCACTAGCGGTTTAAAAAATGGATCTTCTCTCCCATAAAATTTAACTTTCACATCTTGCTTGTCCCATAAAATATTTTAAATTGGGCTAAATGAACATAATTATCTTTATTTTTTTAAATCTAACAAAATATGCTTCAACTACCTTTTACACCCTTTTTATTATGAAATGTTTTTAGCCCTAATGGTTTCAATTATCATTCTTTCAGATTAGTCAATTTTCAATTATCATAATTTCAATAGTAAAAAAAGAAAAATTACAAGTTTAGTTAAATTATTGCAGGCTCTCGTCCAAACTCTTATAGAAGCACATACATTATCCTTTCTCATGCATGCATGCATGCCGCAGTATTTAAATAGAGTAAAATAAATTTCCAGAGAAATATAGATACAAGTAAACTACGAATTCAAATAAAAAGATTAATTCAATTCTGAATAAGCAGTCCAATTGGTAATTAAAAGAACAACTCAGACAACCCAGCAAACAAAAGACGAGGTAACAATGATATGTAAAGACAGAATGAAAGGGCGAAAACGACGACAAACACACCACCTATTTCCAACTACTCAAGTAATTAACCACTAATTAAAGAAACGTAACGTTCGACGACGCAAAACAAAGCACCAAAAAACGTGACGCCGGCCCTTTCATTAACTAACAATTAAAACAGCAACAGGACAGCTAACCCAGCGACGACCGCCAACCCCAAGGCGGCAGACGAACCACCACCAACCGCCACGGCGCCGGACTTCGCCTTCTGGGCCGGGGCGGGAGACGGGGAACCAGAGGGCGGAGCGGAAGGCGACGGGACATTCACCGACGGTGGGATCCGGGCGGGAGAAGGAGCGGAAGAGGGGACGACGACGTGCGGCAGCGGGGGGTTTGGATAGTGGTGGTCGGGGGACATGACGACGACGGAGAGCCTCTGCCCCTTGGCGCAGTTGTCGGCGTGCCCGCTGATGAAGTAGAACTGCCCGGACCTGGTCAGGGTGAATAATGTTGATGAATTCCCAGGGCTGGTAGTTATTAGGGTCTGGATTGGCCTCGTCTTGACGCAGTGGTAGTAGTCCCATTTCTCCACCAGTAGAACCGAATCTTCTCCCTCCTTGTACTTGAACACTACACACAGACACACATACATAAAAATGTTCGCGTCGAAGTACACATACATAATTTGTATGAAATGGATTGTTATGTAATGAATGAATGAAATGAGTGCAAAATAAGTGGATGTAATACGTACGTACCAAGAGTGTCATTGACATGGAAGCGAAGCCCTTGGGCCCAGCGGTTCAAGCCGTCGCAGGGCTGGAGGGACCAACCGCCACTGCCGCCAACGGAGAAAGTGTGACCGGCGGGAGACGGGGGGCAGGAGAGAGAAGAGGCAAGGATGAAGAGAGAGGAGCAGCAGCAAAGGGCCACAAGAAACTGATGAGATTCCATCATATCCCCTCTGGCTATGTATGTATGTATAGAGCAGCTAAAGATGGATATATAGGTAAATAAGTATAAGATGACCTAATAATAGACTGAAGAGGAATAACAACAGTAACAAGGACGACGATGAGTATATATATATATATATTTATATATAGAGCAGAGCAGAGCAAATGTATCGTCGATCTGTAGGAAATAAACAACAAAGGAAACAAAAGAGATGAAGCGAATATGTATAGATTAGTGATCTATTATTGAGTCCAAGTGAACATACATATATGCTCAGTGTTTATGTGGTGTCTATATATATATATAGTAGTAGTACTACTACTACTACACATTTACTCCCTATACTCCTTAAGCTTAAACCACTCCTAAAATATCTACGGAGTAAAATATATGCATCCATCTCTCAAAATCTTTCTTCTTTCAGTCGTTTCTAATTTTTTTCTCATTTCTATTTAAAAGTTAAATTACTTATACTAATTCTCAACCAATCAATCACATTATATCTATTCAATATTAGTCTACCTATCAAATTTTACTTTTACTCATCATATCCAATGATATGGGTAAAAGTGGTTTCGGAAAAATTTTAAACATTTTGGGTGGACAAAAGTATTTTTATGGAGTGCACAAAAGATTAAAACGGAAAATTTCGCAAACTCGGGAATTGTATATATCATCCCTAACGCTATAATAATGTACGTAATATTAATTGGCATTGTACTTCGTACAATAGTAAGTCATTTTTTGTATTTTATGTTAACATTATTGACAACATAAATTGAATTTTGGTGATAAAATTATGAATATTTTATTTTGTTCTCCTTGTTATATTTTAGAAATATTTTGGTTATTATTTTGGTTCTTTATTTTAGTTATTATCTCCGATGGAGCCAAAATCTCACCTGTTTTTGGCTTTGGGGTGTGATGGAATAAATCAAAACGGATATCTAAACTATTTGCGCTTCTTTAATTAATGAAATAGCAGTTAGTCAAGCAATGCAGCTTTCGACGTTGAGCCGGGGGTCTCTTTGGAAACAGCCTCTCTACTTTCGAGTAGGGGCAAGGTCTGCGTACACACACCCTCACCAGACCCTACTCTTGTGGGATTTAACTGGGTTGTTGTTGTTGTTGTATGTAGATCTAATCTATTTGGAATCATTTAATTTAAAAGGGTTAAATATGTTTTTGATCTCTGAAATATATGTGATTTTTATGTTTGGTACTTGTAAAATACTTTTTGTTAAGTCTTCCTTAAAATATTTTTTTATTTTTAAAATAGTTCTTAAATATAATTTGTACTTCTAATTTGTCAAGACAACACATTTATTTTATAGGAAACATTCTAGTCTTGTATTTAATTTCTAATGTCCCCAATATAATTATAAGCCCTAAATGGTTTCTTCAATTCCAAAATATTTTAGAAATTTAATAAAATAAAATTAGAAAATTAGGGACGTAATTAGATGAAGAATATGATCAATGACGTTAGAATTGTGTCTGGGATAATTAGAAATGTAAAATTAAGATGTTAAACATAAAATAAATATGTTATCAAAATAAAGTATAAATTATGTTTAGGAACCATTTTCAAACTACAAAAATTTAGAAGGATGACTTAACGAAGAAAAGTTTAAAGTAAAAAATTTAGAAGGATGACTCAACGAAGAAAAGTTTAACGTGGATCAAAAACAGAAGTCTTCTTTTTTGCATGAACTAAAATTATTTTTAACCCATTTTAAAATGTACCTTTGATCTATCAAATTTTTATCACATGCATTTATTTATTAAAAATTATTTTTAATTTATGATAAAATGGTGTTACTGACAAAAAAAAGTCACGCCAATACAATAATTCTAAGAGGGAGTCACTATAACATGCTAGGTGTTTATTAGTGCTAGAAATACGAGTTTTAAGTTTAAATATTTGCACTAAATAGCACTAAAACTTAAGTCATTTCCTTAAATAGCACTTAAACTGTTTTATTCCCTAAATAGCATTTAATTATGTCTATAATGTCCAGTGATAGCGAATATTTGGTTGAATAATGACTAATGCATAATGACTAAAAGTGCTATATTGGGAAGAATAACATATGTGGTGCTATTTAGGGAAAGTCATTATGTTTTAATGCTATTAAAGTAAATTCCTCATATTAAAATGCCACACTCAATAAAAAATGGAATGGTAATTACGGAGTACAAAAAAAAAGGCAGGCGAAACGGATGGGGGTGGAGTAATTAATTAAATAGGGCAAAGGGATTAATACGGTCCCGTAATAAAAAGCTAAGGAAGAGTGACCGGCCCGCTGGGATTAATTATATTAATTGTATTAACAATAATAATGGCATTTAAGACTACAGTTGGATTAGTAATTTGCAATTTCGTTACAGCGCAGCCCTAGGGAAAATGATAAATCCTTTTAATTTCTCGAGAGACAAATAAAAAAAGTGAAATTTGCACTAAATAGGATTAAAACATAATAACTTTTCTAATGTAAGACTTAAACTTTTTTATTTTCTAATGACTTAATAATGATCTAGTGGGAGGAATAATGTTCAGTAATGATGGACATTTACTTGAATAATGACTACTTCATAATGACCAAAGGTCCTACATTGGGAAATAAAAACATATGGTCCTATATTGAGGAAGTCATTATGTTTTAGTCATATTTAGGTAAATTTTTGATAAAAAACCTCAAATTCAATTATACTCTTACATTCCAAAATTAGATTACATATTTTCTTCTCTTTTCTTTCCATAACTTTTGTTTATTTATACTCCGTATGTTTTTATTAAGTAGTTGATAAAATAAAAAATTTTTGTCACGTCGCATTTTGTAGAACTTTTGACGTGGTTTTTAACATATAATTCATTAATTTTTATTTCTTATTGATGTATTAATTTATAAAATAATTTCAAAAGACGAGGGGTCTTGTTTTGTAACTCTCAATTTATAATCAAATTTGGGACGGAGAGAGTATATGTTGATATGTATCTTGTTTAATTTGTTCTTGGAAAAGAATTTGTACTAAAGAAAAATCTATACACCTCCATCACTTTAGACGTTTTTTTAAATATTTGTTACAAAATTTAAATCGTTAAAAAATTAGAGAAAAAATATCTCTTTTTTCAGTCAATTTTTTTGTTTGAAAATTTTAAATTGTACATATAGGGCCTGTTTGGAAATAGAGTTAACGTTTTGAAAATGTTATTCACGGGCAATGTTTAGCGTTGGCGTTTTCAAAGTAATATGCACCGTTAAAATTTTATCTTAAACGTTAAAACTAATCTCTAATACTATTCCCAAAGAGGCTCATAGCAGACTAATATACTCCAGAATTATGCTGAATAATACTCCGTATTGAATTCGAATGATAACTCGGGAAATAACGTAGTTTTGAGCACAGTAGCATTTTAATGGCACATTGAATAATTTCGTGATTTTTTTGGGAAAACTAGTGGATTTTAAGAATGGATAAGGTCGTTAAATAATTTCGATCCATTCAATGCCTCCATTTTAAAAATATATTCATAAGAAAAAGAACTGGACCTTTTTTAAAAATTATATCTCCATCCGTGAAAAATTTATATGTTGATCCATGAAAAAATTTATATTTAAACTTTATGATCGCAAAGGTACAATTGTTTAAGGAAATTGCCTAAATTGAATGAATAGTTTAAAACATTAAACACATACCGAAATAAGATTTACTTTATTCTTATTTTCTAAATAAGAGCATTGTTGGCATTGTGCAATGAACAAATATAGTTGACATTGTATTTTGACATTTCACTGTATTTTTGGTATTATATACTCCGTATTGATAATATTTGGCATTATAAGTCATATTTTGATATACTAATATTTGGAGTAGTATATGAAGCGTGGTTGAGATCTACTCCCTCCCTTTTTAGTATTAGTATAACAAAATATGACCTATAATGCCAAATATTATTAATACGGAGTATATAATACCAAAAATACAAAATATGACCTATAATGCCAAATATTTGGCATTATAGGTCATATTTTGATATACTAATATTTGGCATTATAGGTCATATTTTGATATATTAATATTTTGATGTACTAAATGAAATTAGAAGTATATATTTGTATTTGACTTTCTAATTTTTCTTTTAATTTAATGGATAAAAATAAGATATGATTGACTGATTATTAATGAAAAAATATGATGTGGTAAGTAGATTAAAAAATAAAAATACTTTTTATTAGAAACTGAAAGTGTTAGAGAAAGAAAAAAATGAAAAACAAAGTATTTTTAAAAAGTGAAGAAGTGGGTGCATAATAAGTACATGGAGAAAATTGACCTATGGAATCATTCCCTTAACCCAAACTTGCTAGTTGCTACTATTGGAAGAAACTAATCAAGATTAGGAAAGATGAGGGGGGGGGGGGGGGGGGGGG